AATGAAAGCTATGCATTTCACTATATATAAATTACATCTCATTAAAAAAAGCATTAAAACATGCATTAGTCCATGTTATGTGATTACTGGTCATTTAAATTTCAAGAGCCACCTTGGATTGCTTTGGAAACAAAAACAGTAACAAAACCCTTCATTTTAACTAGGTATTCACTTATATTTTGAGAACTATTAGAGGGAAGCACCTGGGTAGCTCAGTCAGTTAGGTGTCCAATTCTTGGTTTCAGCTAGGGTCATGGCTTTTGAGGTTGTGAGATTGAGCCTCACATTGAGCTTCCCGCTCCACAGGGGGTCTAATGGGGATTCTCTCCCTCTGCCCCTCCTTGCTGCTCTCTCTCTAAAAGAAATGGATCTTTTTAAAAAACAAATTTACTGAAAAACTTACAAGCATCCAATTAAATAATAATACAAACAACAAGTTACTTACATTTACAGAAGAGTTTTTCATTTTCTCTGAATGAGGCCAAATGCCATTAAGTGAAGGAGGCATAGCATGGCTCTGTAGCATCAAATAAAAAAGGTGTGGGGTATGTGAGCAGGCATGCTGACCTTGACAAAATGGTGAAAATGGCTCAGAAAATGGCTGAGAAAATGAGCAGTTAGGAGACTCTAGTAACCCTTCAGAGACAGAATTCTAATTTGTGAGATACTAGGCTTTATTCAGGATTCATTTAGCTCACGAATGCTACTTAAGCATCGTTACATTATTCAATAACTAGAAATCCATTACATGCTGATATAAAGCACCTTTAATATATTGTGTATATATGTATACACTACATATAGCATATCTATAGGGATTCAGTTACTCTGAGTTAAGAATCACATTTCTCAAGGACCCAGTGATCTGTAATACATATCCAGTGCAGATGTCATCTTTGTTCTCTGATAAAAGCGTTATAACTTATCTGCAAGATATATGCTCAGTGCCAAAAAGCTAATATTAAAATTTAAGCTGCTTTTAACACTGAAAAAGGATTAACTAGTACTTTATAAATATCTTCTATAATACTTGACATTGAAAGGGCAAAAAGGCAACAATTCTTCCATTTCCCCTCCCATCTTCTTTATTCATTTCCCTATAAAAATAAATTCCATTAATTTACTTCCTTCTAAATGGTAACTGGTAACTTTATCTGATGCAGATGGCATTTTTTAGAGTCTTGAGAGAGGTCTCTGTACTAAAATATAAGATTTTTTTTTATATGCTACCAGCCCAAGGACATTTGCATTTTTTTTTTAAAGATTTTATTTATTTGACAGAGAAAGACCAAGCAGGCAAAGAGGCAGGCAGAGAGAGAGAGAGAGAGGAGGAAGCAGGCTCCCTGCCAAGCAGAGAGCCCGATGCGGGACTCGATCCCAGGACCCTGAGATTATGACCTGAGCCGAAGGCAGAGGCTTAACCCACTGAGCCACCCAGGCGCCCCTAAAATATAAGATTTAAAAGTAAGATCTAGACCTAACATTAAACTGTGATGAAATGCTTTCTAGCTACTATCATCCAAAAAGAAGTCTCAAAATTTCAGAGCCAGAAGTTCTGAGATCAACTAGGCCAGTGACTTAAGTAGGGAACTCTGTTCAAATAAAACCCTATCCAAAAGCTCAGTATGCTAAACTTTTTCTAGAAGAGTAGGAAACTCTAAACCTTTCTGTCGAGTATTCTTCTTTTCTATTCCATAAGAATTAGAAAATTGGTAACATGGTAAAATCCTTTTTGCATTTAACAGATCAAACTAACTGATAGGCCCAAAGAACTGTTGAAGGACTAACTGACCCAAGTTCATTGTCAATACCATATGATAGATCTAGAGCTTGCTATCATAAATGCTTCTTTTAGAGATCACATTAATTCAATTCAAATTGAGCACCACGAAGATAGAGAAGGTTGTAACAGAAATACAGAGATTTTTAATGAGCTTCCAGAAGTCAATTGAAGATTTCAGTTTCTTAACTAAACAATGTCCTCAGTTTCCTAAAAATATGGAGTCTGAACACCACCCTTACTCGGCTCTTTACACTGAGTGTCATGCTTCTGCATAACAATAGATCCCTTACCAAGTAAAGATTAGCTAGGCTCCGCGGGCAGATCATTTTTCAGCCCTTGTTTTAGGATATCCCAAAGTACCTTAGTAAATTCAAGGGGCTGCGAGGTGCAGGGGAGAAGATGGAGTTAAGTGTAATTGCAGCAAAATCCAGTTAAGAAACTGACATCTTCAATTGACTTCTGGAAGCTCATTAAAAATCTCTGTATTTCTGTTACAACCTTCTCTATCTTCGTGGTGCTCAATTTGAATTGAATTAATGTGATCTAAAGAAGCATTTATGATAGCAAGCTCTAGATCTATCATATGGTATTGTCATTTCTACACCCAACACAGGGCTTGAACTCATGACCCCAGGATCAAGAGCCACATACTCTACCAACTTAGCCAGCCAGGCACCCCAAATTTAAAATTTTTATATTTATATCCATCTAAAACAATGAATAACACATGACTGCTTCATTTAATCTCGATAAACTAAAGTCAACTTAGTCCAGTATTTACCAAATAAATATTTACCTGTATGCTATATAGATGTGATGTGGAAATAGTGGAGAACAAACTGAGGGGACAAGAGGACGTTGCCACCCAAATAAAGAATGCTTATGTAAATTCCTTCCTACCCTTTTCACTTCAGGAGAAAAACAGTTCTCACACTTTACAACCAATGAACCACTACTGTTTCTGTGTACCATATTCTACCACTCCTAAAGCAAATTTACTCTTTCCCCACCCTCATGCAATTACTACCTTTTGCATTAGAGACTACTCCAGGAAGCCACACGGTATTCTTGGCTGCCCTCCCCAACCAGTTCAACCAAGCTTTCTTCCTTAGAGCCTGATCCTGAAAACCCACTTCCTCTCCCAGGAAGCATTACTCTGAAAGCCAGGTTAATCTCTCTTTAGCTCCACCCACAGTTTATAACTACAACTCTCTCTGCACTCAACATCTTATTATAGATGCCTATTATTTTGCTCCCAAGTTAATTTCATTTATTCATGCTTATTCAGTGTATTAACTATAGCTCTTGATGGTCTGTATCAGCACTGCCTTTAAATAAAAGCTACCAGATAAAAGGGTTTAGCACTGAAAATGCCAGATGCTTTAACGCTTTTTGAAAATTATTTCTAATACATTAAATTCCACATGATTTGTGAAATTCCTAAAACCTCCCAACATGGATGAATTTCAAGAGCATTATGTGAGAGAAATCGGACACAAATGAACTCATACTGTAGGACTGTATTTATGTGTAATTCTAGGAAAACTAGTGATGGAAAGCAAATCAATGAGGGCCAGGGATGGAGAGATTATGTTTAAAGGCAAAAGAAAAGACGTTTTAATTTTTTGGCTAATGCAATAGACTTTTTACCTTGAAGGAATAAAAAGCTAGACATTTTAGTAAGACTTCCATTCTTTAAAAATTTTTTTCATTCTCCCAGAATGACATTCATTTTTCCCAGCAGCTTTTTGGGGGGTGGGATGGAGGGATAGGAATCATTTTAAATCTCCCATCATCTTGGATTTCACATTAATTTACCTTACAAAATAAACCTGGAAGTTTCTTCTAAATAATTTCTCACAACCAATAGAATATTTTATCATTCAACTTCTCCATTAAAAATATCTATCAGCACTGTACTCTGGTTGTTTCCACATCTGAATTAATATATGCAATTTAGTCCTTAACTCAAGATTTAGAAACAAACTCGAGCAGATAAAGAGATTACGATAACTATTGGTCCACTTAATTCTTAACTGTCTCTGGTTCTTTTTTACAAATGTTATTTTTGTGTGTTGAAAAACTGCTTGGCTTTACAGTACATTTTAGCCCCTATTCAAGGAAGATGCTTTCTAATCTCAAAGTCAAACTAACAATCTTTAAAGTTAACCATTTAACAAACCACAGTGTTTTTATGTGGTCATCTTTTATCCTGATTACTACTGCTGTTTGCCTTCACCAATATCCCATCCCCCCAAAAGGCCACAATTTCCCCGAGGTGAGGAGTTACTGAACAAGTAACTCAACAGGTTAAAGTTACTTATCACACTGTGGTTACGTGATTAATCTTTTTAATACATCAGATTTGAGTCAATTTCAACACAGTAGTGGTCAAACTGCCTCTGCCATTACTCACAAAAATTTAGTACACGAGCTGAAATGCAGCCAACATTACCCTTCAAGAAAGAATAATTAACACTTTTAAATGGACTATGACGGATTCTGCATAGTATAATTTAACAATTTCACGTCGCATCTGCTGCAGAGATCACAAACAGACTGTCATTATGCCATCTCTTTCCTTGAACCCCACCACCGCCCGAACCTTTATTCTTGGCTTTTCAAAGGTTTAATCCACTCAGAGCAGCTAAAGGGCCAATCAAGGAAGAGTAACTTGTGAACCCAAGCCTAGAAAAGGGCAGGAATATGCGGTTGAGTCACGTCGTTCCGCCATTTTCTAAGCGGAGGAGGAAGACATGTTGGAACAAAAACACAACAAAAGAGCAGCCATTTCCCAAGCCAGCTCCAATAGCAACCCGAACTGGCCGAACCCAGTCACTTGGCACCTTCAAATCCACTTCGCTGGATAAACCTAAGAACATCAGAGGTGCCGGCGTAAAGAAAGCAGCAGACAACCCTGCCGCGTAGAGATCAAAGATGACCCGCATACTTAACTGCAAATGAAAGCCTCGAGAAGAATGACGGAAGCTACATGGAGCAGAGTGTAACCAACTGAAATTCTAAACGAAGTTGCCAAACTAAAAATTGACTCAGTGACTGTGGTGTCTTTCGGTTCTCAGGAAACCACCAGCGCTAGTAAACCCAGGGAACTCAGATAACAAGGCCCGGATTCAGCTGGTGCTATTGCTTGCCTCTACCCATTACCCCCATGCCGTACTTCCCTCGGTGCACCGCCTGTGTGCTCACGAGTTCTTACCGTATGTGGGGGATGCCCACCCCACCTTGAAGAATCTTATAGAGTTTGCTCTCGTACAGCAACTGGGGATGCCTGGCCTTCTGAGATTCTAGCTTCACTGCCACTTCCTGCAGGGGAGAAAGGGGATGATGGCATCAACATCCCTAAGGATTCAATGATTCAATGTCACTTGGGAGGAGGGGAGACATTAGCAAAGCTCAAACTCGAGACTAGGAGGAGAAATAAGGCTCAGAAGAGAAAACTCCCTTTGTAATTATAAAACGAGGCAACTAGCCTCAAAGCCCTCTTCAGGGGGTAGTGACGAAATCGGCACGTCCTCCAAGGTGCAAAAAATGATTCATCCAGAAAACGTAATGAGAGGTTTTGAAGGAAACTGACGATCGAAATCAAGAACCCCAATGAAATAAATCCATACAGTGGGGAAACATGGGGATTAGAGAAATATGATTCTGCCGATCTCACCTTAAACGACAGCTTAAAAAGTTCGACTAAGGTCCATTTTTAACAAGCTGGGAAACTTCATGGGTTCTCCCAACCCTTCTTTCGGGTTCTTTTGCCTTTTAGGGAAAGAGAGCCGGGGAGGCTCCTAAAGCCAATAAAACTGGCTCCCTCTCTCTGGACTCCCCTCCCCAGTACGTGCGTGTGATGGGGAAAAGCCCGAGCACTTCGGGGGTTGGGGTGGGGGGTGAGGACTGGCGCAGCGTGGTCGTGAACCCCACCCCGGGTAATTACCTCGCCGTTGGTAATGTTGATCGCCAGGTAAATGTCCCCGAAGGAGCCAGACCCGATCTTCCGTACCAGTTTATATTTCCCTCCGACAATGAATTCGGCCTTGGAGCCGCTGCTGCTCGCCATCCTGAGAGATGAAGATGGAGGCTGGGGCCAAGCCCCGACACCTCTAAGGGGGGGACGGAGGCCTCTGGGGCTCGTCCGCGGAACAAGGCTGCGGAGGAGGGCGGCAGGAAACGGAAAACGTTGGCTCTTTCAAGGCGTTACAGGGCCCAGAATTAGCCGAGGGGAACCTGATCACCGCCGCTCACTCAGGCTTCTTTTCGCCAGGCCGCAGTTTGTGAGGGGGTTCTCGCGGTTACCAGCCTGGGCCACTTGTTTCTGGGCGGCCGCCGCTGGCTCGCTTTCACGGCGACGTCGCGGGCTGGAAAAGGGGCGCGGTGGTTTAGGGCGGCGATACCGCTGCCACCACTGCCGCCGGCTCCCGCCCGGAGGGACCCCTGTCACTCCGCCGACGCCGCCATCTTGTTACTCCGGCTCCAGCCAACACAAAATGCCCCTAGTCCCCGGGAGCCGCTTCTTCACGGCGCAGAGCACTCTGGGAAAGGGATCTCGGGCGCTAGCCCCGGAGGGTCGGCAACGAGAGGGAGGGCGGAACCGGATCCGTGAGAGTCACGGCCCACGCTCCGAGCGTCACCCCGTCACCGCCCAACCACGCATGCGTACTGCAAACCTGCTGATTGCGCAGGCGTGAGGTGGCCTCTCCTCTCCCCCGCCCGGGGGCTCACTTCCACTTCCGGTTGTTGGCTGTTCGGATCTAGCTACCTGTTAGTCACGTCCGACCCGCCTGGTCTCTGAAATACCGCGCGTCCTCGGGCCCCGAGAGCATGTTAGGGAGGAGTCACCTTCATTCTTCGTGGAGGATGGGAACTTCTGGCTTCCTTGGGAGTTTTGACCTTTGCTCTTTGTTTAAGGCGATTTTTAACCTTTGATCTTTTTCTGGGCCACTCCCTCAGACCAGCCGGTTCCAGCCCAATTCTGTTTTGCGAGAGGCTATCGCCTCTGGTGGAGAGGAAGAGAAAAGCATCCCTGGCCGGGCTCGGTTTAGTCTTGGCTCCAGGTTTTAGCGGAGAGCAGTTGATGAAGTCTTAAGCATTAGGATTCTGCGCTCCACAGAGTGTTGGAGAATCGTTTTACCGAAAGGGAAAAGAGGGAAAGCAGGAATTATCCTATGCCTTTGTGTTGTTGCTCCACTGATAAATTTGGTCCCCAAGGGGGAAAAAAACCCTAATGCCCGATTCATTATTTTAGTAGCAGATGTCTCAACAGAATAAAATTTACAACCCTGAAAAAGCCATAGTAGAAATTATTCCCACCCACCCCAACCCTCCCAAAGAAACCTCTATAATAATCATATCTTGGTCATGTTGAAAACTGCAGTACTGATACAAAAACAGGATGGAAAGAACCATTACAAAATAAAATTGATAACGTTTGAAGCAGTGAACGTTAAAAGTTATTGTTAACCTTTATACAGTAATTTTTTTTTCTTTTATCTAAAAATCTATTAAAAAATCAAATCTTGACCACATTTTGGTTTACAAAATTTGACCTGAGGAAACGGCCTGGTAGTTATGATAACAAAAGAAAGCTCTGTAGTTGATGCTGTCGTCTGTAATATGAATCAAACCCCGGTGAATGAATCAAACCTCGGTTGTAAAAATTTAAACGGAATCTCTCAAAGTAATTTCATTAAAATGGAAGTGGAAAAAATGTAGACTTAACTGCAATTTTGAAAGCTGATCGAGTAAGTAGTGGAGTTCATCCTGAGAGATAACTGAAATTCCTCCATGTTACTCTAATGCCGATTTAAATACTTCTAATTCATAAAGCTCTAATCCAAATGTGTTGAATGTGAAAACAGATCCCCTAAGGTTTAGAATGGAGTTTTGATGCACTACCAAAACCCAGGCTTCCTGACTCCCAAATCAGCACCGTTAGACATTTTTGTTTAGTGACTCTAAGGCACCTTTGGCCTACTTAAAAATCTCTGCTGGTAAGAGTCTGGTCTTAAAAAAAAAAAAAAAAAGCCCAGTGTAAGCATCTCGAAGTTCCCAGGGATAGCCGCTCTTATGCTGATTTTCTACCACAGACTCCAAAATTTAATGGACTACAAAGCTTGAGGAGTTCCCCACAGTGGGTGGGGTATACATTTAAAGGGATTTTTTTGGTGTAGTGAGGATACAGTTGCTCCATTGTGGGAGATAGGATGGGGTGGGGGGGGTAGGGGGGTGGGGGGTATGCATAGAATACACTAGATTAGGGATTCCCAAAGGTATGTGTACAGAGAGGGGCAAGTCTAACAGTTTTCCACAAAGATATTGGAAAACTATGAGCCGTATAACGCATTTTTTCTTCATTTAATTTTTTTTTTTTTTTTTTTAGATTTTATTTATTTGACAGGGACAGAGAGAGAGAGAGAGAGAGATTGAGCGCACAAGGGGGGGGCAGAGGGAGAAGCAGGCTCTCCAGTGAGCAGGAAGTTGGACCTGGGACTCAATCCCAGCATCATGACCAGCAAAAGGCAGATGCTTAAGGACTGAGCTACCCTGGTGCACCTTCATTTAATTTCAAATCGTACTTTATTCTGAGAGTTTATCGTCCTATACATATCATTTAAGCGACCATTTTTATAAAATGGCACTGATGATAGATGGTTATTTTATTCTTTTGTTGGTATACTTATTTGTCAAATTAAAAACTGACATTTTTATGTTTGCCCTCCTTTTTTGTTGTTGCTGTTTGTTTTGAACTTTTATAAGCTTTTGAAATCAAACCCTCTGGGACCCACCAGTCTAAATGACTTTTAGAAGCCCTTCCACCTCTGAGATTTGATGATGATTCTACGTATATATGTGGTGAGCCTCCTCATTTGTTTCCTGCCTGGTGTAGTCACTATTCCAACACTGACAATATCCAGCAAATGCTCCAAAATGCTGTATGAGTAGTCATACCCTTTTCAAATGTGATTTCGGTTGCCTCCATGTTAAGATTTAAAATTTGTCCAAAAAAAAAGATTTAAATTTGTCAGATTTTAGAAGGGCAAAAGTTGAAGGGTGGTTAACAGAAAATAAAGCTTTTAGGCACAGACTATAACTCAGCCTTTTCCTTAAAATCATGCATCATTTCTAGTAATTTTCAACTTCAGCAATTGAAGAATTACCTGTTTTTGGTGTTACTATTAAAGTTACAAATCATTCTGTACTTACTGAATCAGCAGCAGCTTTGGTGTAATGGAAGGAGTCTTCTAAAATGTGCCAAAATGCAATTCTTGGATCACATGAATTCACTAAAAATATAACCAAAAATATAGATTAAAAATTTTAGACCTTGAGGGAAACTTAGAGAGATCATCTGCTTTAATTATCATATTTTGAAATGCTTTGCAATGTACAGAGTGGCTTCACACATATCAGTTGTGTCCACTAGGACACAAGAGGCTTGTCCAAGATCACACCGGTCTTCATAGCAAAAGAAGAACTAGAACCCCAACCTGTAACCAAAGGAATTAGAAAAAGGAGTAGAATGGAGATTGGGGCAATCACGCCTTAGTGATTACTTCTATGTTCTTAGATAGGTCAAGATGAATTGAAAACATTTTTGTAAAGCCACAGTATTTACCCAAGGAAAGATCACTGGTAATCAGAGTGCATTTTGAGTAAGATGATAAAGACAAGCACAACAATTATAGACAGATGCTGTAAGGAGGAAAATGAAAACAAGGATGGCCCATCTCAGAGTTGTTTGGTACAAATAAATAGAAAAAATGGAATATCTTAGAAGATGTCAAATACAGTCTTAGGTTCTTAGGTGTTGTTCCATTGTTTTATTGCCTTGTGCACAATCAGGATCAGATAAGTGAGTGAGTGGAGTACTTTAAAACAAGACCATCAGAAATGTCTTGTTGGGTCAGAGTGATAATTCATTTAGTCTCTTTTCCAGTCTTTGACAGTGACAGCAATTTCTGTGTCCCTTTCTTGTCTCAATTCCTCTTTTCTCCCTCTGCACTGTTCATGAGGTTTTATAAAAGGGAGTTGCTGCACCTATGATACCTATGAAGTAGCTGTCTATGATAGCTACCTACCATAGCTACTTCAGCCACATTTGAGGCAGTCTGTGAACATTTCATACTTTCAGTGGAGTCATTAGCCATAAATTTATTTCAATTAATTTCATTCTTTGAACTTATTTATGCTTTTCACCCATGTGACTTAAAGATTCTGTAAGTTCCATTGTATGCTACCCAATGACTTTGTTCTTTTTCTTGTAAGTGACAAATATTTGGGGCACCTGAGTGGCTCAGGTAGTTAAACCTCTGAGTCTCGATTTCAGATCAGGTCATGATCTCAGCTTCATGAAATCTGGCCCATATCAGGCTTTGTGCTGAGCTTGGAGCCTGCTGAGGATTCATTCTCTGTCTCTGTCTCTCTCTCATTCTCCCTCTGCCTCTACCCCTACGGGTGCTCTCTAAATAAATAAATAGGGGCGCTTGGGTGCCTCAGTCAGTAAAAGTCTGCCTTTGGCTCAGGTCGTGATCCCAGGGTCCCGTGATTAAACCCCGTATCTGTTCCCTGCTCAGTGGAGAGCCTGCTTCTCCCTCTCCCCTTGCTGCTCCCCCTGCTTGTGCTCTCTCCCTCTCGCTGTCTAATAAATAAATAAATAAAATCTTTTTTTAAAAAATCTTTAAAAATTTAAATCTTTAAAAGGATTTTATATATTTACTTGAGAGAAAGAGGGCGCGCGCGCACACACAGACAAGTGGGGAGAGGGACAGAGGCAGGAGAAGTAGGCCCCCCGCTGAGCAAGGAGCCCAATGTGGGAATGGATCCCAAGACCCTGGGATCATGACCCAAGCCAAAGGCAGACTCTTAACCAACTGAGCCACCCAGGAGCCCCAAAAAACTTTAATAAGTGACAGATATTCATTTGAAAAACTTAGAAAGTTTAGATAAATCATAAAAAAATCCAAAAATCTCTTGAGATAATCACCAAATGTTAACATTTTGCTGTGTATAAATATCCAGTCTTTTCTATGCATATTGTATGTGTGTGTTAGGTGTATGTATATATATCAAATATGTGTATACATTTATTTAATTTTATTTCTTAAAATTTACAAGTAGTCATAATGCACATTCAGTTTTACAACCTGTTTTCTTTTTTTTCCCCCCACTTAATAAATTGTTGGGACACAATTCCATAGATTAAAAGGAAAACCACAGACTCAAAATAGCCTCTCTCTCTCTCTCTTTTTTTTTTTTAAAGATTTTATTTTTTTGACAGAGAGCACAAGTAGGCAGAGTGGCAGGCAGAGAGAGAGGAGGAAGCAGGCTCCCCGCTGAGCAGAGAGCCCGATATGGGGCTCGATATGGGGCTCGATCCCAGGACCCTGGGACCATGACCTGAGCCGAAGGCAGAGGCTTTAACCCACTGAGCCACCCAGGCGCCCCCAAAATAGCCTCTCTTGAGTTAAATCCCCAAGTCGGTAAACCAGGGCTTAATACCTATCTAATTGTAGTTTCAACCTCCCTCAGAAATTAAGTCTGAACCGGTCAGTCAGGAATTTTCTGATCACCACTAAGGAGATAAAC